TCAGTCATAACATTGCAGCAGCCTCTTAAGAAAAGTGCAAATTCCTGCAATGCCTTAACATCCTCAGCCTTTACAACAGGCCATCCGAACACCTTGTCCATGTAGGCTGTTGCTATCTTCTGTTCACTGCCAAAGTGCTCTCTCAGAAGACCTTTTGCTCTTTGATATCCTTGCTGCGATGCCATATGTAGGCAACTTCGAACCAGCTCTCTGGGCTGCCCTGTAGTATATTGCTCTAACAGGTACAGACAGTCTTGATAGCTGCTAGTTCTCTGCTCAATACAGTGTTCAAAAGCTCTAACAAATGAAAGAAATTGCAATGGATCCCCATCGAATATGGCAATGTCTTTCTGTGGCAAACTTGATGACATTTGTTGCTGCACAAGCATTGCTGTAATCTCATTCTGCTTTTGCAAGATTCCACATATGGCATTCCGGTCCACAGTGCTTTGCATTGGTGGAGTGCTCTGTGCTGGCTGAAGCCTGTGCAATTGCTGTTCTTGTGCAGCTACTGATCCAGCAGGCGCAGTTATTAAGGTTGTAGGAACATTTTCAAACTGATGCTGTTGGCCAGTAGTACCATGTGTTCCATTGAATGGCTGTGACTGCAGTCTAAAAGTGCTATCTTTTGCTGATGATATAACACGACGCTGTTCGTGAGTCTGTGAACGTGCAAAGGGGTGCTCGACATGCACAGGAAACAAAGGTGGTTCTCTTGAAGTTGGTTTTGTAGCCATTGTGCTATGTTTAGGAACATAAATGCTTGCATTTGGATTAAGTTCAAGACTTTGCCCTTTACGTGCCTTACGCACATATGAGTTCATTCCATCTGATGCAGCCATTTCCACATCACTGCCTTCCAGTACTGAAAGCCTTGCAGCAGCCATAGCAATTTGTGCATCAAGTTCCAACTGTTCCTTTCTTTTCCTCAGCTTGACTCTTTCCAATCGGAGTTCCTCCTCTTGTTCCTCGAGCTGATGCTTCCTTTGTAAAGCAGCAGCCTTCTCCATCAAAGCTGCCCTTTCTGCCTTTGCCTTTAACCGTGCGGAAGATGCACTGGAACTGCCATGGCTTCTTTTGCTTGATCTTTGACTGGACACATTAGACACACTGTCCCCTGGCCTAATGTCATCTTGACACACGGATTGAGCATCTTTATTTTTTACCTTTCGTTGTGCACCCTGGCCATCACCATCATCATCATCATCATCATCATCATCATCAACATCATCATCCACGTCAGTGGCATCATTCACATTTTCATCATCACATGAAGCTCCCATCTCCTTCAACCATTTATTCACTTCCTCAACGAATGCATCATTAACAGACCTTTTTAACTGAAACCATTCTTCCTGTCTTTTCCGTTCCTCTTCAGGCAGAGAAAACTCATTGAGCAAAGTGTTGTGAAGATCAAAGGCATTTTGACATAGAGACTTAAACCCTTTTAGCTTCTGTTGAACATTTGTCACATTTGCAGGAACCTTTTCAACAGAAACCAGAAACGGGACGATGTCTGCTTTTATTTTGCTTGTTTTTTTAAAAATCATACTTCTTTCCTTTTGAAGCCTTTCAATTATTATAATGATTCCTTTAGCGGTAGGTTTTCTTGTCCTTTTTTCACTGCCGTCACGTTGCAGCTCTGTAACTTTATTTTTATCATTGCCTTGTGTGTCACTCATTCTCAACAGATTACTTTGTAAGATTCACGGGCTTTGTTATTGCGCTATGTCGACCATTGCCTTTCATTTGCCTAGGCAACACACTCGCAATACGTGACCTATATAGCAATATTATTAATACTGCGTCAATTGTTGTACAGATGTAAAAGTCTTTCAGTTCGTAACCTGCTTATCAGGAAGGTCCAAGTTTTCCTTTTGCCGGTCAATGATAAAAGATTTATCCTACCTTAGGATTGACGATGGATGACCCAGTTTATAGCTTTACCATGCTGCAGTTTTGGCTCGATAAAGTAATCCATTTGCTTATTCAACTTCCAAAGTATTCCAGCGAAATCCAGTTGTTGTCCAACTTCCAACGTATCCAAACGATATCAAACATTAATCCAACTTCCAAAGTATCCAAACGAAACCAGATTTCATTTGTTGTTCCTCCGGGACATCTCAACGAGATCAAGGTTTTTACTTGTGTAGTGACTGTCTTAACATTAATCAGACACTCAGCAGGGTGAGGGCTAGATCCTGTTTTTGACGCGCTATTTGTCCACTTCGGATGAATTTAAAGTCCACAACGTTTAGCGTCTTTGGGTGGTGTTCCCATTTAATAGAAAAAATATAGTTTACAGAGTTCAAAGTATATGCAAACGTGAGGACTAATCTAGCTGTGGCGTGCCAGCGGTAAAAACCGTGTGATCTCCCCGCCACCCTAGCATAATTCCCCACCCGCTACACCTGTGTATTAATTAGCTGGCGCGCCTGTGCCACCGTGAACTTGGATACTGTAGCACAAGCACACTGCCCTCTAGTGTAGACAACCACCACAACATCAACAATAACTAATGGCTCCCACAAGGGTCTTATCATGCGAAACGATCGGTTATTTCAAAACTTATTCCAAAAATGTAACTTTTCTAAGGACAAATGCTAGCCTTTCTCCATTCTGTGAGGCGCGTTTACAACGTCACGTAATACGTAATTACGTTCAAAAGGTCACGGGCGACGTATAGCCAGAAGTACAGAGTCAGTGTTTACAAGTTGAACGCATAGTGCAAACTAACTCAAACGCCGTTTACAAAAAAGGAATTAAAAGGTAAAACAACGATGTCGGACGATTTTGATTCTGTACTTCCGGCTACGTCGCCCGTGACCTTTTGAACGTAATTACGTATTACGTGACGTTGCAAACGCGCCTCACAATATATTACAAGGCTAGCATTTGTCCTTTGAAAAGTTACATTTTTGGAATAAGTTTTGAAATAACCGATCGTTTCGCATGATAAGACCCTTATTCATCGTCTGGTGTCGTTTAAAAACATTTGAAGCTGCATCTGAAACTGTTATTAACTGTCGTTTGGACCTCGGTTGGACCGTTTGGTTCCCATTGAAGTCCATTATAAGGAGAAAAATCCTGGAATGTTTTCATCAAAAACCTTAATTTCTTTTCGACTGAGGAAAGAAAGACATGGACATCTTGGATGACATGCGGGTGAGTAAATTATCAGCAAAAGTTTTTTCAAAAGTGAACTAATCCTTTAATCATTCGATTCAATAGTTTGTCATCATGTGCCTTTTTTAAAAATAAATTCGCGTCTAAGGCCATGTGTCCACCAAAGCGTTTTTATCCAGCTGAAAACGCCAGACGCTCTGCTGAAGACACCGTGCATTGAGCGTTTTGGCAGCGCAGCGTTTTTTCCGTTGAGACGTTTCGTTGCTATGATACAGAATATCCGCGGCAGTTTGAATGTTGTGAGCATAGACCAGTGTTTCCCAACCCTGTTCCTGGCGGCACACCAACACTGCGTGTTTTCTTTGTCTCCCTAATCAAACACACCCGATTCAACCCATCAGCTCATTATTAACCCACCTGATTATGAGCTGATGGGTTGAATCAGGTGTGTTTGATAAGGGAGACAAAGTATACATGCAGTGTTGGTGTGCCGCCAGGAACAGGGTTGGGAAACACTGAGCGATCTCATTGGAACTCCGTTGAGACGATTGAAGCCCGTTTTTTTAGCACTTCCGTCCCTGACGCGCAGACTCGAACAGAGCTTGACTACGTAGATGTGACGTGAGTGACCCGTCTGTCTTCTAGTGCTGTGGCATGAGAAATCTGAATCATTCCCTTCCGAGTGTGAATAGGAGCCGTACATGAGCTAGGAGAAGGAGACAATTCTGCTAGGTATTCTGATTAATTATTTAGTCATTTTGCCTCCACGTTTCGGCAATTGCGTGCGAGCTTCTTCTCATGTCCATACGGTAATCTCTCTACGTGCGACAGAGTCACGTGGGTATGCCGCAATCGTTAGCCTACTTTCACTAAAACTGCTTCTACGGGGCCATAACATAAGCTACAAGGTAATGGAGCTATTTATACATTGTGGTGTTTCTTTAGAAATAAATAAAGGACAAATGGGGTCTTCAAATGTCTCAGATGTAAAGTTATTCGCTGTCAAAGTGACGCCAAAATGAATGGGAGTCAATGGGAATGCTAACGCAAGTGAAGTTCTGCTACAAGATGGCAGCTCCCGCGAGGCTTCAACTTCCGGTCGATGGATTACCCCCCTTGAGCGTGACCAGTTTGAATGTTGACAGTTGGTCGGTGTGGTATTAGTCCCGCCCCTCCTCCACTGTGATTGGACGGCTGGGTAAAAAGTGACTGCGTTTTATCCAAAGTTGAGCATTTTTCAACTCCCAGCGACCATTAAAAACGCCGGGGGCTTCAGCGTGAAAAAAAAAAACGCCTCGGTACGCTCATGGCGTTTAAAAAACGCGGCGCTCCCATTGAAAACAATTGAAAACATACACCAGGCGCGTGGAAAACGCTTTGGTGGACACGCGGTCTAAATGTCAAAAATAAATATGGTATATAAATGATAAAACATGCCTTGATTTATTATATTGGAATTCAATTTGTATTACCTACAATGGCTGTTATTATGGTTTCTTCAATCGGATTACATTTAATCATTTAGCAGATATTTATATACAAATCATATTGCAATACTATACCACTCAAAAATATCAAATAATACCTTTGACTAATAAACGATGTGAAACTAACGGAGGCTCAGCTCTTTACAATGCAAAGTCCAAGATTATGTACTACAGCGTTTCTAATTTTATCTGGGTTTCACCATCTCTCCACGCGTCGGTCCTGTACTACATCCTCTTTTCGCAGAACAATTTCACCTCCGCATTCAACACTAATCTCCCATCATTCTGTGCCGCATTGCTTAATAGTTGCCAAATACCTGCAATACTGTGAAAAACAAAGACAAAAATAGAGAAAGAGAGAAGAGAGAGCACGAGAGAGTCTCTTACCTCCGTTCTGGGTGATGTATCGAACCCACGGGAGCGCCTGATAGCCGCTCTTCTCGATGATCTTCAGGTAACGCACCTGTCGAAACACAGACCATCACTGTAACTGCATTCAGGCCGATGGAAACACCAATGCATTTAAGGGATGCAAAACAATAATGCTAAAGCCTTTGGTTCGGTGGAAATTATATGTGAAATTTAAGTTGCTTTTCTTGCACACAACAGTGCAAAGTTGGCTAAAAATTGCTATAAAGAGCACTTTTTTCCTTTATCTCATGCACATATCAATTACTTGCACATATGTGACCACAAAACCAGTCATATGGGTACATTCTTTGACATTAAGATTTATAAATATGAACGCAGAATGTATGGTTTGTTAGGATCAGTGTTGGGTAAGTTACTCTAAAAAAGTAATTAATTACTAGTTACTAATTACCTCTTCAACAGTGTAATTAGATTACTGTACTAATTACTCTCTCTAAAAAGTATTTAATTATTTTTAATTACTAATTACTTTCAAAATCCCATATCAATCTCAACCAGCTGAATAATACAACGATAGACATGAATCTGTTTTAATTCTTTCAAATAAACACTATAAAATTGCATGAATTATCCTTAAACTGACCAACATTATAAAAACATACTTTTTAGCATCAGACATTACATTTTGATGTTAAACCCACTATTATTTTAAGTCTGATCTCATGACATTTCACACTTTTTTCATACATATTTTACAATAATTTGTACGGGTCGTACGATTTAGACAACTCATAAAACGCATACGGATCGCTGTGAGATGGGCTTGATCTATACACAGTATTTACCTCAATTACATCAGAAGTAACTGTAATTAAATTACAGATAAATTAAGAGTAATCCCCTACTTTACATGTTCAAGGGAAAAGTAATTAAATTACAGTAACTAATTACTTAGTAATTAGTTACACCCAACACTGGTTAGGATAGAACGATATTGCTCGCGATCTGAAATCTGAGGATGCAAAAAAAAAAAAAAAAAATGGAGAAAATCACCTTTAAAGTTGTGCATCTATGTTTATGATGTGCTGTATTCACACATAAATAAATCTTTTATATATTTACGGCAGGAAATCAACATGGAACACGATCTTTACTTAATATCCAAATGATTTTGACCCTTACAATGTATTGCACAAATATACCCTTTGCGACCAGGGTCCAAGGTCACATATGCTAGGCTAATTCTTCATTGATAGAAAGAAATATGATGCAACAAAAAAGGGGGTTGTGGGATATCTCGCAAGGGCACAAACATCCCAGTATTGTGGAATCTAAACATAACTTTGCATTAGCTTCAGGTCAGGCACAACGCAGGCACAGCAGAGCCTGGGAAAGTGGCAGAGAGTAATGCCACGGGCGGAAGCGCATGAAGAAGTGAGATTGGGGAAACGGCACCTTTCAGTGCCGAGCGCTATTGAGTCACTCGTTGCATCCTTACGACGGGGCCTTGCATCACTGCTCACAACAGAAGCGTTTGCACAACCCTTCCAAAACATGCTGAAAGAGCACAATCACGTTCGGTAAGAGATGACAGATACCCTGATACTCGGAATTAGAGATGAAGTGTGTTGTATTTTCTCACGTTGAAATATTGTTTAGCAAGTTTAATGTGCAGAGACAACTTGTTATGGTGTTCTGGGTGGTCTTGGCTTTAGAGTCTCACAGGTGTCACTCATCGGTAATCACGCCACTGGCCTCGCGCCTTTCTCCCGCGGCCCTCACTCGTCCCGCTCGCCACAGTAAACATGATGAATGGCGACTGTAGAACGCAAAAGCCGAATCCCGGACATTTTGGGCGATCTCGAAACACATTTTTGGGCAGACTCATCACTAGTAGCCTAGACTTGTTGTTTAACGACTGCGCTCTGTTACCGGTAGGCGTGGCCTCCTAGGGCAGCGAAGCAAGTGCATTCTGGGAGTTGTTGTCTTTCATCGACAAGCCAAAAATGCATTTTCTGGCTTTTCTCAGTCTAGAAAGCTCCAAATTCAAAAATAATTTCACATTTATTCTACATAAAATGACCCATTTTAAATACACATTCATCTTTCCAGAGGTGGAGTATCCCTTTAACCTCTTAAGTGTCACGGGCCCACCGGGGGGCCAAAATCCATTACATTTTTAAAACAGTATTATCCTATACTAAACCTATTCAAACTATATCATTTGAAAGCTTAGAATCTCTAGTTTTCATATTTGGTGATTGATTTTCAAAATATATTACAGAGGAGCCGTAATTTATCAATTTGCAACAAGAATATTTTCATACTCTAAGGCATGTTTAGACCTTTATTTTGAAATTGTGATGAATATGAAAAATCATGAAAGAAAGGTAGAAACCTGTTTGTTTTCATGCCAAGAGTTCAAAAGAAAGCCTCCATTCAATTATTTTATAATTATAATAATTATTATTTCATATGGAAATGGAGGCGCCCTTATATGGGCTGTAATGGAGTCTGGTTGTGCCCTAGTGGAAGCGTTCGGTACTGCGCCCAAATAAAATCTCACTGAAAGCTCATTTTTTGAGATATCAACCTAAAATTTCAAACACAACTTATTCAGATTTTTTAGCAGTTTTAGAGTCGCCCAGGTTTTGAAAATATATATTTTATATAAAATATGAATAATTAATTTTTTTATATTGTACATTTTCATAAACTCAAACTTCTATAACTTTTCTTCTGTTTCACATTCTTAATTTATTTCACTTCTACAAAAATCTGCCACATGTCTTCTTTAAAACGAGACCATTTTTACGTCTATATTCCAAAGCATTCTTGAATTACAACAATTTAAGTTTGAATAGTGCATTTTCATCTATATTCAAAAAAGGGGGGGTGACACTTACATACATATAAATATATATATACACACACACACACACATATATATATAATATATAAATAAAAAAATATATATATATATATGAAGAGTTCAGATGCAAAAGCCTCTAAGTGCCATTTGAAATTTTCTTCTAAAATGATCATTTTTATCAAGCTTGTATATTTAAGTTCAGTAATTTCACTTAAATGGCAATGAAGATTACCTATTAATTGTTATTTAAGTGAAATTACTGAACTTAAATATACAAGCTTGATAAAAATGGTCATTTTAGAAGAAAATTTCAAATGGCATTTAGAGGCTTTTGCATCTATATATATAAACTCTGAAGTGAAGTCAACAATAAGTTACTATCTGTTTGACAGAACAATGAAGAACAGGGGTGGAAGGGGCGGTAGGAGTGTTTGGGATTTTTTTTTTTGGAAGCTATCTTTATTTTTTACATTTGATGTCGCTAGTCACCTTTAAACATCTCTCGAGATCAGGGTGGACAAATTAAATTACAGTAGTCCTGTCCAAGCGCTCTGCGTTTGTTGATTTTGCAGGGTTTTTAATCTGCCGAGCGTTTGTTCTAATCATGGACTCTATTCTCCCTGAAAACCGTTCAGAAATAGCCCTGCAGACGCAAATTGGACTTACGCAGAATGAGAGATGTATTCTAGGTATCAATGCAGATTTTAAAAAGAGCTTGGTCCAGTTAAAGCATGAGGACAACCCTGCGCGGGCACGTTTCACGAGGTATTTTTGGGAACACCGTGTCCTGGCGTCCGTGGGCCGGTAATGTGCCACTCTTGGGCGCAGCTCACACAAACCTACCAGGCCACCATCAGTGCAAGCGAACAGCAGACGGGCACAGCGAGACGGCCAGACTGTAAAGGTCTAAATGCAGAGCCATCCGAGCGACTGTGCGATGCTTGTTTTGAGTAAATGTAGCGATTCGGTCCAGTCGGGTTGAGTTTATGTCATGCTTTTGGTCACCTTTGGCTCGGTCAGCCCTTCATGAACACTGGTGTATATTTGTAGCCGACACCGAGGACGCTGGACGTGTGGGTAGTGCTGAGATTTGCGTGGTCACCGGTCTCTCATTAGCATGAAATAACTGGCCAGTGGAGCGAGCTCAAAGTCGGAGACGGGTAGTCAGACTTGCACGAACATAAACGGCCACAGACACGCTGACTCAGCTCTTTACATGCATCATTCACTCACTATGTAAACAAGAAAACAGAATACACATGAGGGATGTTGCTGAAGAACAGTACTTAGACTAATAATGAGATGAACAAACTGTTGACAAAGGCATTATCACAGGCTTCACATTAACATGCAACACAGTCACTCCTACTAGACACTTTGGTGGGTTGAATTTTATCCAATACACATAATTTTCTATTGTAGTCTTTAAAAAATAGGCATCTTAAATAATAAACTAAGCGCAATGTAGCGTCATAAAATATCGAATATCCATTTTCCACAGAATAGATGCATGACAACAGCTGCTCTTTCTCTCTCTCATGTCGTAAAAACGCGGTCTTGGCGAGTATTCACATAAACACAGTTAGTTGTTTTAAGTGAACATAAACAGTTGAGAAAGAAAACGCACGTTTAACAGTATAATGGGTCCGTAAGTCAGGTCTTAAAGTTGCCAAATTATAAAAGATAATATAAGATATTATAAGATAAAAGATAATATAAGATAATATAAAAAAAAGATAATATAAGATAATATTAAAAATATCTATATGGCAATTTTCCCCATGGTATCGGTCAAAATTGTTGCCAATGAAAATGCCGAATGGTTTGTAAAAAAGTTAATGGCAAGCCCATGCCATAACACATAGTAATGCGATATTTTTGTTATTTTATGTATTATTCAAATATTATTTCCATTCCATTTTAAATTACATATTTATAGAATGTAATTTACATATATATATATATATTTATTTGTATTTATATTCAATTCATATTATTTTAATTTAATTTATTATTTTTTAAAACATTTTATTTTACTTATTTTTTTATTTATTTTTTGGGGTTTATTTATTTTTTTGAGCTATTGGATTGAGTAGGGAGATCATGTAAGGGATTAATAATGGACAATATTTTATTGTCTACAGTTTATGATGTGTTATTTTGTACTGTCATTGAAAAGCAATAAAAATATTTGGAGTAAATTGCATATTTATGTCATT